CATAAGCTGAGCTATACAGCACAAGGAAGGTAAAACCTCAATTCTGACTATCAAATACAGGTCTTAGAGAAATTTTCTTATTACAAAAAAAAAAAAAAAAAAAAAAAAAAAAAGAACAAAAAAGAGTTCAGCAAGCTTAAACATTACATACGTTTAGGGACAGATTTCCTAAAGTGCACTACACAATAACCAAGTAAGAATAAAGTAATCTGCTATATATAACACATGGAGAAATTTGAGTAGTGTGAAAAATAGGACCAGCCGGAAGACTTTATAAATCCAAATTACAAAGCTAAAACTCAAAGGGATGACTTTCTCCAAAGACACATATCTAGAAAACTTTCTAAATGATTGAAATAGCTATCAGCTCAGCTGCAGCTTTACTGAGGCAGACATAAAAACCCCAACTGGCAAAATGAGTTACACTCTTGATGAAAAATTCCAACTGCCAGGCTGTCAGGATGGACAGTAAGAAACTGAGTTCCATGCCTTATTCTCAAATTCAGCACGATCTCTGTGAGAGGAAGGTACACAGCACATTTTCTTTAATTGAAATTATTTTTTAAATCTTAAGAAATCTCTCCAATGAAGTGATTTATCCAATGAAGTAATGCATACGAAACAAGTTAATCCACATCTTTTATGTGCTTTGTGGTACCCACTTCATTAATTACTATTTGTCAAAATTCATTACTTTTTTTCTAGTAATTCTAACCATACTCTTGACAAAACTTCAAATATATCTCTTGCACAGCACTCCATAGCATTGATGGGAAAGCAGTAGGTGTTGTTAACCTTGAATTTAGCAAGACTTTCAGTGCTGTCTCCCATAACATTCTCAGACAAACTGATGAAGTATGGACTGTGTAAACAGACAGTGAAGCAGACTGAAAATTGGCTGAGCCGCAGGGATCAGAGGTTTGTAACCACTTGCATGAAATCTAACTGGAGACCAGTCACTAGTAGTGCACCCCAGGGGTCAATACTGGGACGCACACTCTATTAATGACCCAGATGATGGGACTGAGTGCAGCCTCAGTAGGTTTGCAGATGTTGAAAAACTGTGAGGAGTTGCTGATAAATCAGAGGGACATGCTGTCATTCAGAGGGACCTTGGATAGGCTGCAGAAATGGGCCAACAAGAACCTCATGAAGTTCAGTGAAGGGAAATGCAAAGTCCTGAATTCAAGGAGGAATAATCTCATGCACAAATGCAGACTGAAATACAGAAAACACCATTTAAACATAAAAAAAACCCCTTTTACTGTGAGAACATTTAAACATTGTAATAAGTTGTCCTGAAATGTTGTGGAGTGACCATCCTCAAAGATATTCAAAACCCAACTGGACATGGTCCTGAGCACTCTGCTCTAGATCAATCTACTTTGAGCAGGAGGGTTGGGCTACATGGTGTCCAGAGGTGTGCCTTCCCACCTCAATGATACTGTGATCTTGTCTTTACTCATCTCATCTGTGCTTGAGAAAGGTGCTAAAGCTCTCTGATGATGAAATAATGAATTATTTATTTTAGAACAAAGTAAGTTAGGATGTTGAAGCATCAAATGTAAAACTCAAGATCAGGGATGAAAAAACCATAACTGAACAAACTCTTTAAGGAGACAAGGAAGGATCTGCTATTAGTTTACAATTCCAAGTTACAGTAGCTGAGCATGCAGAAAAACAATCCCTAGCAGATAGTTTCACTCTATATGGAGTCCCTTCATAAAGATAACAGTTCACCTTTTAAAAAAATAATTAAATAATCAGAAATGGGTGCTCAGCAGAAGTCTCTCAAACATTACAGAAGAGATGGAAGACTGAAATAAGAGATGCCATCTTTGCTATCACACTATGAAATACTCAAGGACCTATGAACCCAGGTGGTTTCCAAGCAACTCAAGTTTGCTTTCACAAATATTGTTGCTGAGGGAAGGGGCTATATTAGAATGATAAATGAACCATATTTTCAGTGTTTCATGAATTTTTCCTTCACATGAAGTATTCCTATATTCATGTTTCTTACTGTTTGAATGCAGTGTTGTGAGAGCCTGTGGACACAGTCTCCTTAGGAAGGACTGATAGGGAAGACAAGAGCGGAGAGTGCTGTAGGGAAGGCAGAAGAGGCTCAAATGCGCAGAGCCACAGAGCAGTGGGCAAGTCTGTCGTAGAGCATATGGGTCAGAATTAGAAGAGATGCCAAAAATATGGACATTGCTGGGTGGCACCTGCTACAGGGTGCTTGATCAAAAAGAGAAGGTGGATAAAACCTTCTTTAAACAGAGCAAAGAAGCCTTACTGTCACAGGTCCTGATTCTCATGGAGGCTTTTAACCACCTCAGTATCTGCTCAAGAGACAGAAACACAGGCTACAAGCAATTCAGACTTCTGGAATGCATGGGGGACAACTTTTTGATGCAGCTGCTGAACAGGCTGACCAAGGACGCTGCACTCCTGCACATGCTAATGATGAATAAGGCAGAACTGGTTGGAGACAAAAGCAGTCCTGCCTCAGCAACCGTGAGATAACTGATCTTGAGAGAAGTGAGGAAGGTAATGAGCAGAACAAGGACTGGGGCTTCATGGAAGCTGACATACACATGGAAGTATGCACCTGAAAAAAAGCCAAAACATACTACATGTTCAAGAGTATACAGAACCCATTTGTTAAAATGAATAGGCATGTTTAAAAGGTGCAATAGTGGATATTACTTTTATTTGAAGTATTACGAAGTCACAGCTATTTCTGCAAATGTATCCGGATACAAGAAGATTTAGAAGTCAGGAAAGGTCTGCAGTATTACTGCTACTGCCCATAAATCACAAAGGAGGATACCCCATTCTTCTACTGCTTCCTACCTAGTGCAAGACCTAGATAATTAAATTGTCTTGTAAAAAGAAGAAAATGCTGTATGTATCCAGGCTACTGCACTGTCCATGTCACAAGACATCAGCTACAACCTTATCAAGTTAATACAGCATGCACATACATGGTTACATGGTTAAAAAATTGCTAACAGAGCTTTACACGTTACCTGTAGGGACCTCACTGTAATGGGAATTGTGCATTTTGTTTTAAGAAGCATTAAATACACAGCAAAAGGTGACATGGAAGTGTGAGAAAGAGAAAACTGAGTAACTGCCAACACAACTCTCAGGAATTTGCTGGAGAAAAATGAAGGATCCCCGTATTACAGGCAGTTGTTAACAATGCAACATCCCAATAACATAAGAACAGAAAAGCATATATATTGTGTATATGAAACCACCACAGAAAAAAAAGGGCTTGTGCTTCCAGCACAATCCATAAATGAATAGATCTGTCTAAGTACAGATTTTCTGTTCTAAAGTAAGTAAAATTAAACTGGCAGTTAGGAGCTATGAACACGAGCACTTATCTTCACACTTTATAACCAATGGGGAAAGATGAAATAGATGAGTAACTCTTTCTTGTATATTTCACTGAAAAAAAACTCTTAACACAGTAGAATGACTTGGAGGTCCCCAAAATGACAGAGAAGTAATTTAGGGTTTTAAAAGATCTTTTTACAGGAAAATCTATTTCAGCTATAGTCCACTAGCAGTTTTATAGTCTTTCTCCCCTAAAAATATTAATTTTCTCATTGCTTTCACTGACTGTTGAAAGACCACTAAAAATGTGCCTCTTTTTCACTATACTTCCCTTGCATAAATAGTATGCCTTACCTGTGGATTCTCTTGAAGTATTAGTCAGTTCTGGAAAACGCTACATTGGGAGTACACATGAACAGCTACAACATGCATCTATCTTTGTTTGTGTTATCGAAGAAGTCTCCAACAACACATTTATCTGTGCTTCTGAATGAAGTAAAATTCAAGAGAATAACATGCACTGTCTTGAGCAATATTACGTATAGCCATTTAAAACAACTTAAAGTATACATTAATGTTCTTTAAAGGGTTATTTTAAATGTTCACAATATGTAAGATCATATGTATTCTACACACTCTGGAAACAATAAACATCTGTTGTGCAACAGATGAATATTATTGCAGCTCTAAGGTCTTTTCTTAAGGTAGAGCATGGAAATACGGAAGTTACTTGGTGTATGGTTTGCATTGCGAATTAGTGATTAAAAGCTATGCTGAAACTCTCTTTTAGTCCATACTAATGACCCTTTCCCCTGCCACTCTGAAAAAGTAATCGTAAATTCATTGAGATTTAGGAGATAATTCTATATAATTATAGAGACTATTCCTATCTTTACTATCTACATTTAAAATCTCCATTATCTGTTTTCAGTTCATTATACATGCCACCCTCCCCCTGGACTTATTTTTACTCTTCTCAAGGATACAAAATAAAACCACTTTGAAACTAAGGTTCCAATTATCTGTCTTATTTTACAGGTGTGCAAAGAAGAGAAAAAGGCATGACATTATCAATTTTATTATTAAATGTTGAGATTATCAATGCAACCGATATTATTAGCTACGTATCACAAAAATGCATCATTTCATTGCTTATCTTTTTATGAAAATCTTTGAATACAAAATGTCTTTAGAAACAAGCCCCTAAAAATGGATCAAACACAACTGCAAATAGACTACTGAGCACTATGGTTCTTAATTAAACTGCTTTTCTTATAACTGTTTCCTTATATCAGTACATATGCTTTTAAAAATATGATTTTATTGTTTTTCAGTGCCTGTGTTTAAGATACTTTAGTAAGTATAAAAATATTACCAAAATAATAAATTAAGAAAATCTGGTAATCTCATACTGTTCTAGAAACTTACACCACTAATAAATAAGTGTACAGATTAAAGAAAAAAAGCATTACAAGGGAACATATATCAGTATTGGACTGTATCACACCACACTTTATAAACCGTATCACACATAACAACCAGAACACTCCCTGAAAGAGCTGCACAGCAGAGTTTATAAAGTCAGAAAAAAAATGTCATAGAAGTTATTACCTATTCCCCCCAGAGAGTGAAGAAAAAAGAAAGAAACTCACCACTTTTAGTAGTGAAAGAATACGGAGGCTTCAGTGGAGGGCTGAGAGTGCCTAGCAGTCTTAGCTTGGAGTGTGGCGACAGCGATGATGGTGCAGGAAGCAAGAGATTTGAGCTCTCCTGTAATAGGAAAGACAAATCAGAAAGTGTAATTTCCTGGGTTACTTGCTGATGCAACAGCTAGAAGAGAAATATTTGCTTACTATAAATAACTATTAAATTCCAGGAAAAAAGTTAAGACTCAAGTTGATGATAAATAACAATGTCTATTTTTTTTTTTTTTTTAATTAGAATATTTGGAGACACAGACTTTGAAAAATTGACACAGGTATAAATTGAATTGCATGCTTACATATGGACACAAGTTCTCAAGCAGTGCAAACAATGGAACAGAACTGTTTGAACTGGTACCTCGTTACATCTTCATATATAAAAATAAAATGACATTTATATAGGGTTATGAACTTATAAATGTAAAATACCTTCTAATTTTTGTGTAATCAAACTACACTACACCTACGAAGAGATTACTTAGTATTAGAATGAGAGAAAAAAAGAAAAATCTTAAACCAGTCCCAACAAAAAATATTATTTGTATAGGTCAATAAAGCATACCTAGACCAAAACTCTAGACATTTCCTTTATGTAAGCTACACACAAAAATATCTACAGTCTTAATTTCTATAACAACAAGGATAATGTAGTTAAAATTTAGTTTGCTATGGAGTTTCCTGATATACATGCAACTATCACAATGCAAAAACCTTTCCCAGACTTTACTCTTATTATCCAATACAGCCTATGTAAAAAATACGACAATCTTAGTTGTTTTGCATGATCCAATTGAGAATTTTACTGCTTGTTAAACATATTTTCACTGTCTGCCTTGATAATACAGCCAGGGGGAGGGAAAATAGGCCTTAAATAAAATTTGTAACTCTCTTCAAACAAAATAGATTCATATGTTAAACTTTTTGAGAATTACTTACATGAAAAAATATAATTCTTAATATTTTCAAAAGTAAAGCCTACTTCGCAATCTAGAATAAATGCATATGGTCACTTAATCAACTAAAAGCCCACAGTCAGTGGAACACTTCCTTTGGACTCAGTAAACTCTAGATCAGATCCTTAAACTTTAGTTGTGCATCAGAACAATGACATTTTGCAAATTTTCAATCCACTGGCTTGTAAATTCTGTTTAAAAAAAGGAGACAACTAAACCAAAATGAATCAGTAACTTATTTCCAGAAGTGATATTACTTATAAAATTACTATTTCTATCATTTAATAATAAATATTAAACATTTCAACAGGTTTCAATAGCGAAGAATATTTGGGCCTTGGTAGGTGTACTGCGATTCAGGTGATATAGCACTAAAAACATGTTGAGTAATATGACTGAGCCATAGAGGATATCTGCTACCATCTCTGTATTACTACATTAGACCTTCATCTTAATGTATCTATTTTTTTTGTGTAGCAATATGGATTTAATTCTACTGAAAAACTATAATAAAAACTGCCCTTTACTAGTCAAGTATACTCTCAGCAACTGTACACAACTGTAATGACTACTCCAAAACTGACGAATTGACAAGAAAGAAAAGCAGGACAGAAAAATCAGAACAACCATTGAACATGCTAAAAAAAAAAAAAACAACAAAAAAAAACCCAAGCAAACAAAAAATGGCATTAAACCAGTTAGATTTTACTGCAGCGTACAAATTTAACAGACTTAGTAAATAGTAGCTGTGAAATGTAAGCAGAAAGGAGAGGCCTGTTTTTCTGAACAAAATCAACCTGCTTTTATTATATTTACAGGTGCAAGTGACTAAGTTTCATTAATATAAACTTTTCTCTGATACACACAAATATGGTGAAAAGCCAGTAGCTTATGTGTTTACTCAAACACAGAGAAATAATCTGTTCTGCAAACATGTCAGCTTCCCAGCATTTCATCTTTTATCCACTGTTAGCTCTAGGGAGAGCCCTTCTGCAGCAAGACAAATGAGATCTCCCTACTGCACAAACTTCTTGCTGAATGCACACTACACCACCCATTATACAAACGTATGTTTTCCAGTCAAGTATTCTCATAGAATTATCTTTCAAATTTGCTATCAAAAAGTTGGTTTCAGACACTACAAGGGAAGACAGGTTGAATATATCAGCATTTGGAAATCAAACTAAACACAGCAGAGCAAACTATTCAAAACTAGCACTTAACAGATACTTCCCTTTTTCATCCTGAAGGGAAAAAAATATGAGGAGAAACCTGTCTTGACTGTGGTGCTTGAATGAATTATGTAAGAGATATGGAACTATATATGTAAATTATTGCTGTACAGCATTTAATTAGCTTCTCTTTATTTTCCTGCTGTATTACTCAAATACTCTCATTATACATGCCAAATAGCATGCTCTGAAATCAAATGCAATATACACATACATTGGAAGATTGAATGTATGCACCTGAAAATTTTTTAAAAAAATGGAGCCTTTTAAAAATATAAAATAAGTTCTATCCTACAACTCTTCCTTCCTCTCCAAGTCCTTAATAACAAGATAAAAACGATTTTTACAAAAGAGATATTAAAAAGAAAGCTTTAAATTTAAGGAGTCTTTCAGGAGTGATTTATTCCTTCCTTCAGTGGCAGTGAAGCTTTGTGCAGGTGAGCTATAAAAGACTGCCCATCCAAAGTAAACACAAAATCAGCTTTAATGACTATTCTGCCACTAGCTCTTAAGTATTATTTACATCTCTAAAAGACCCAAAGAGGAAAAAAGCCCACAATATTGTAACAGAAGAAGGTACCACTCAGCTAATAAGTGAGGACTAATGATTCAGCAGAACTGTTTCCAGGTGAAGCACACTGATCTATTAAGAGTAATTAATTCTCCTGCAGTACTAAGACTACCTACAGATCAGAGTGAAGCAATCTTTTTTTTTTTTTTTTAAATGCATGCTGTGGTAAGGCATTGCTAAATACCTTTACAACAACGAGTAAAGTTGGCTAAGATAGCCAACCATCAATCTACTTATTTTTCACAACAGGCTCCTCTTGCTTCATGCACAAACCACAGCTTTATCAAAGACACAGTTTACTACTATCCTGAATTGAGTAAAACTAAGAGTTATAACATTCATGTATTTTTTATAGTGAAAAAGGATACCTACATAATTTATGCCAAGTTTAAACAAAGCTGATTTGCATTTTCTTTTTTGTATTAGGGTAACTTTATGCAAATTATGCAAATATTCCTTTTCAGTGGAACTAGTTTTCACATTAAAAGTACATTGCATGAGACAAAAAAACAGTGTACTGCAAGACTTGACAAGCTGACAATAACAATTTTTATTTTTTTCCTGAGAATGCAATTTTATGACCTTTGTAACCAATATAATCAACATTTCCATATGTACTTGCAAGGCAAAGCAAGCTGGCCAGCTCTATACTACCTCCTACTCTTTTAGTTTTAGGCTTCCCTTTTGAAACTTTAGGCCTCTGTGACACTGCTTTTAAAGACAGTTTAAGACATTTAAAGACAGATTGAAAGACATTATTAAACCGTGATTCTGCAGAATTTGAAAACTGATAATGAGATAAAAACAAAACACAAATTCTGCTATAATGCTTAAAGTAGGAGTATAGTACTGCAGCTTGAAAATGTAAGTTTGAATCAAGTTTACATCTATGTAAAAATACAATCACTTCTATGACAGTTGCATTCGGAGGACTTCAATGAAAGCTGGGATTCTATTGTGGTAGGTGTCCTGCAATCACTTAGAGACTAATTATTCTGCTCTTAAGTAACTTTTAGACTAAATGGGAAAGACAGCTAAAATATCATCCCATTACACATAGGCAAAACGGAAACATATTTATTTTGCTTGTCTGAAGCAAGTTCACTCCCTCGATGCTCCCTACAGTCGTTTTACTGTGACTATCCAGATCAGGAACTCGTCTAGATGGCTAAATAGTTCCCTCATAACTTGGATATTCCATTATTTTTTCCCCATAGAAGCCCAGAAGTGACCAGCACATACATATGAAAATTGAAGCTAGAAAGTGCTTGATCCTACAGTTTAGATATAGTCATTGTCTACAGATGATCTGTCCCATCACACAGTAATCATATATATATTCAATTCCGTAGTTCTGTCAGAGAGTTCCAGCATTTCAATTACAGGTTTATCACAAAAGCTTTCTTCTTTTTTTTTTTTTTTTCCTTTAAAAAAAGAATGTTAAGAATAAATTATGATTACTGTAAAAATTTGGAATAGTAAGCATCTTTTAGCCACAGTGAAAATCAAGTTCTTTGTACAAGACAAAACAGTTAAATACAGGCCTAGTAATAAACAGGCTGTGTAGACTCACTCAGCCATTAAGCACAGAGAGTATGACCTTTTCTGGGTTGGATAAAACTGGCATTTCAGGTTAAGAACATGTCTGGATATACACATTTTAGCAGAATTGGCCAATGTCATCACCAATAACAGTATAAAGTAGATTTGTCTTGCTCAGTAAGAGACAAGTAGATTACTATGTAAACTGTGACCTCTTCTGTGGCTGGTTATGATTCTTGCTATTAAAGAACATATGACCAGGAAAAAAAAAAAAAATGCCCGTGACTTTAGTAGTTAAATTTTAAAAATGTCTTTTTTAGTGTAAATGAAAAATGGATGTAACCTGTGTCACATACAAAACACACCCAAAGATACTTGTCCTGTGATTTTATTTCTCTTCCTACTGAGGCAGATAGACACCAAGTATTTTTCTGCCTCATATCTTGTCAAATAGATATAGATGCCTATTTCTCTGTGCCTCCTGGTAAGACATTAGAACACAACTCTAAATACAATATACAGTCAGGTAACCGTGTAAGCATTCACACGTTTGTAACCTACCCCCCCCCGCCATCCCTCCCCAAGTATTTGGTTAGACTCTAAGGCTTTTCCTATCATATATAAAATCCTTTTTTTTTTTTTTTTAATAGAGATATTTAAAAAGAAAAAGATATATTTCTGTGAAAATTTCATTATCATTCCTATTATTATTAAACAAAAAAAAAAAGTATAAATAGGCTTGCACTTCAGTAAACTGTTAAAATTATGC